TTATTTAGCCCCTAAACTACATGTCACTTGAATGATTGACCCAAAATTTATGACAGCAATTTATTTTAATCCCTAATCCATTAACCCATGCTTACTTAGCGCCATATTATTGCCATGTTGGAGGAAAAATGGTCCAAGTTAGACCAATAGAGATGAGAAAACTTGACTTGGCACCCTCAAACTTGTTGTCTTTGGGGTTTAAGCCCTTCAACATATAATATGAGAATTTTTGCCCCTAATCCACACAATTTCTAGATAATAAATCCAAAATTAACATGTTGGTAACATGAATAATATGTACACTCATTTCTCCATTAAGTCATATTTTTTCTAGTATCATGTAAGCAAAAAAGTAATCACATGGTATGTGGATCCCATATTAATTTTAATTTAAAAATAAAATTAATTTTTATTTATTCCACATCTCTTATCCTTCTTTTCAAATCTCTCTCCCCACATCAAAGCTCCTTCTTTAGACATAGTTGTTGGGTTTTTATCCCTTACATTTTCTTAGTGATAATGGTCATATTAGCCTCAGATACCATTCACATCATAGATAAAACAAAATAACCCACAAATATTAACACCTAATAAGTGAAAATTGAGGGTTTTGAAGGAGACCTATGGTTCAGTGGAAAATTCGACACTGATCAAATCTAAGGTTCTTTTATGGAAAAGGAAAGGGTGGAGGAGGGTATAAGAAAAAGGACAAGTTGGAGGAGGGTGCAAGAAAGATGTGAAAGAAGTAAAAATTAATTCTATTTTTTAAAATTGCAATTGATGCAAGGCCCACATGGCATATGGTTATTTTTATGCTATGATAGCACTAATGAAGTGTGACCTAACAAAGAAATGAATAGATATATTACTCACATTACTTCTATTGTTAATTTTTAGATTTATTATTTGGAAAACATGTAGTTTGGGGACTAAAATTCTCATATTTTATGTTGAAGGGCTAAAACCCTCAAAAACAACAAGTTTGAGGGCATCAAGTTGACTTTTTCCACCTCTATTGGTCCATCTTGGACCATTTTTCCTCCAACATGGCAATAACATGACATTGAGTAGGCGTGGGTTAATGGGTTAGGAACAAACATGACTAGCTGCCACCAATTATGGGCTAAAACTCTCAAAGACAAGAAGTTCAAGTTCTAAATAACAAATATTATTTGTTGAGGGGTTAAAACCCTCAATGACAACAAGTTGGAGGGAGGCACGAAGGGTTAAGCCTTAAACGGTAAACACAACAAGCGAATTATCAAGCAAAAAATTCAATTGAGAACAAATTAAATATCCATAATGATTTAACCGGCACAGACTACAGTACATAATAATTTACAAAAATTCTCCCTCCCTTGTTCGTGAAGAAATTAAGGATTGAAATTGCTGATGACACTGGAAAGCAGAAACACGGGTTATATATATCTCTTCCTTTTTTCTTTTTCTTTTTTTTTCTTTAAAACAATCAAACATCTTCAGTGTGGTATGGAAACGTGGTTTGGATCCGATGCTTTCGTTTTTTAAGAGACCTTTGTAGCGATCTCTTCATGGAAACTCCGCCCGACGGACTCTAGACCTGAGATGACAATGTTGGCGAAACTGGACCTGATCCTGTCGGAGTCTTCAGGTTCCTTCTTTCCTCCATTATCTCTCGGGGTTATCGTTGATAAAATTGTTCTCGCCTGCATTTCATGTACAACTTCTCTTAGGCAAACAATTCTCATTCGAGAAGTTACAGTAGCTGCACTGACTTCTTTGCGATTGATTGAATTTAACAACTTAAAAGATTTATTTATTTTGTACGTTTTAAGACACATAATAAAAAGTAATAATTATATAATTATTATTATTTTTTATCTTTAAAAAATGATAAAATTAATTTTTATTTTAATTGTAAATATCAAATGTTGATTTTTTATTTATTTGTTTTAAAATTAAAATCAGAACTTATTTTCTTAACTTAAAATTTTATATCTTTTAAGATAATTATAATGATTAATAATTGCTTCTTATAGACAAACCCTTACTTAAAAACCAAAGTACGTCAGGTAATTAGTTAATTAATTATTAATTAATTAAATTTTAATTAAAAATATGTGTAATTAAGTAATTTTATAAATAAATATTTGAAGAGAATATCTCCAGTAATTAAAAATATAATACTCTAAATTAAAAATCTTGACTTAGAACTAAAATTGGGTAGAAAGAGACCTAATAAAAAGAAATGATTCTCTTTTATGTACCAACCAAGAAAAATAGGCAGCATTTTTTATATATAATTACCAAATGTTAAAATACTTTTAGTGACAGCACAACACCACCAAGCACCATAACAATACCAAACCAAGCCCAAGTGAGCTCGAGAATTTAAGCACAAGGGATTTGCACAGGTGCATATTTCCATACTCGTATGCACAACTCGTCTCACCAAAGACATTCAGTTTCTGTAGATAATACAGAAATTACAACAAGAATATAATCAACGACAAATCCATTTATAAATTAAGATGTCGAAGAATTTAGGATGGAGTAAAATCATCATCTTTATCTCTAAAACTCTTCTTCTATAGTTACCTCAACGGTAGAACCAGAAATTCTACCACAGGAAGATTTTCCAATGGAAAATAATCTTACTTCAAAGTAACTATTAAGTCAAGGAATTCAGCTTCTTCTCAAACAGTTTAGCCCTTCTAAGAGCATCCAAAGCCTCTGCTTGTTTACCAGACCTTTTCAAATTTACTGCCTTCATCTTCTCTGCTTTAATCCGCTCTTCCAATTGCATTCTCTCTTGGCTAATGTTTTCACTCTGGACAGCACTATCTTTTACAGGAACTGGTCTTTCTGGAACTTGAGACACAACGCTACCAGCATCCAATCCAATGGCTTTCAGGGCAGACAACAGTTGAGGATCGAGAAGATCATCAACAACTACGTCATCTGCTGAGTCAGAAGACTTTGTTGAATCAGCAGCAGTCAACTCCTCTAATTGTCCTTCAAGAGCCTTGGCTAATTCAAACTCAGCTTCTGCTTCTTGTATCCGACCTTCCCTCCGCAGCTTCAAAGCCTGACGTTTATGACTAAGGGATTCCTGCTGCAACTTGAATCGATCACGCCCAGACAATTTTTTTGGACCCAAATTTGAAGCACTGTGCTCCTCTCCATCAGGGCAAACAGTGGAGATGTCATTTGTACCAGTTCTTGGCAGAACCTCATCTTCAGCCAGGCTCTTTTCCAGCAGCTTTGCCTGCCGAAGCTCCTCCCGAGCCTCTGATAATTTGCCTTCCCTTTTTAAAGTAACTGCCCTCCTCTTATGCAAAAGAATGTCTTGCCTAAGAGAGTCCTGCTTGTTCAAAGAAGCAAACTCCTGAAAATTTCCTTCCAAATTTTGTGACTTCTGTACTGAATTAACGACTTCACTTTCTCCAGTTGTAACCATGTCTTCACTTCTAAGATCTTCTGCAGGGGTTGGGTTTTCTGATTCTACCATTTGGGTTTCTAGTACCTTTGCCATTTTCAGCACTTCCTCAGCCTCTTCAGATTGGCCATTCCGTCTAAGAGCAAAGGCCTTTCTTTTCAAACTCAAAAGTTCTCTTTGAATTTCTCCTTTTTTTCTTGGGGCTGCAGCTGAAATGCCTGGAGAGGATTGACTACCAACAGCTTCTTCAGAAGGCCTTGCATGCATGATCAGAGGTTCTTCATCCTTCCACCCTAAGTTCTTTAGCACTGAAAGTAGCATAGGATCATTCATATCATTTTCTGTAACATCCCCTGCACTTCCTCCATCCACTGCATCTGTAAGAGTGGGTTCAGAAATTTTTTCCTTGGGACAATTAGACTCAACCACTTTCTTTGGGGCTTCTATGTCTTCCATCTCAGCTTCTAGGGCTTTTGCCTTTTCCAATAGTTCCTCTGCCTCATCAGTATTCCCTTGGCGCCTGACAGCAAGAGCCTTTCTCTTCAAGCCTAATAGTTCCCTCTGAATTTCGGCTTTTGTTCTTCTTGATGCCTTAGCTTGGATTTTAGGAATGGCCTGTGTAATAGAAGGTTCACTTATTTGCACAGAATCTATTTGCTTAGACTGTTTTACAGAAGAGTCTGAAAGCCCATTATCCTCGTCATTCCATCCTATGTTCCTTAGAATTGAAAGATATGTAGGATCTTGCATATCTTGATCTGTAACGTCTTTTTCTTCTCTTTCTGACAGATTTCCAGATATGTTAAGTTGGTCATGTGCCAAATCCATATCTTTACTACCACCAGTTGCTTGCTTAGTTTTCCTGTTCAAACCATTATCCATCTCTTCAAGTTGATGCTCAAGAAACATTCCTTTCTTTAATTCTTCCTCTGCTTCATCCACTCTTCCTTCCCTTCTTAGAGCAAGGGCCTTCTTCTTCAAACCCAGAAGCTCTTTTTGAATCATTAATCTGCTCTTTGGTGCAGGTTCCAGATCCATGTCCCTCGTAGAACTAACATTCTCCTCACCAGCCTTCACTGACCCCAATGGTCTATCAGCAGTTTGAGAAGTTGTTCCATCTAATTGAGAATCGAAGTTTTCAAGGTCCCTCTCAAGTAACTTTGCCTTCTTTAGTTGAGCCATCGCCTCTGATACATTACCTGCACGCTTTTGGTTAAGAGCTTCTCTTTTTAATGAAAGGATTTCACTGGATAGTGCTTCCCTGTCAACAAGAGCCGATTGAGGCACAATGATTTCAGCATGACTAGAATCCTCAGTCCATCCCAGTGATTTCAGGGCTGTAGCTAATTCTGGGTCCTCCATATCTTCCTCTGTCACTTCAAAATTACCATCAATAACAATATCATCAGTAGTTCCAGCAAGGTGATTGAAGTCAAATTTCTCTGAATGGTCAAGCTGAATCAACATTTCGTCTTGTTTATCATTGTCCATACTGCGAATTATTGCAGAAAGCTCATCATCAGAATCTTCAGCCCCCGCTAACAGTTCTTGTTCTTCAAGCTGCTTCTCTAAAACCTTAGCTCTCTTCAATTCCTCCTTTGCTTCAGCAAGTTTCCCTTCACGCTTCAACATAAGAGCCTTTTTCTTAAGAGCAACAACTTCAGTTTTGTCAGTTCCATGAGTATCAGTCTTCCTAGGAATTTCTCCAAGAAGAGAAGAAAGCTCACCCTCCAAACTCATACCAGCAGCTTTTTTATCATCATTGCGAAAATCCATATCTGACCAACCCAGTTCCCTGAGTTCAGCAGCAAGGTCATCCTTGTCTTTGCCTACTTGACGAGGAAGGTTATTTTTTCTGCCAGATCCACTAGGAGCATCTTCACCTAGGATATCACCTATGCTTCCAGATTGCAAAACCTTTTTACGGTTTTTTCTCATAGATATCTCCAAAGCATTAGCCTGCCTCTCGAGCTCCTTCCCTCTTTTAAAGGCTCTTAGAGCTTCCTCGGGCTTCCCTTCTCCTTTTAGAATTTTATATTTTTTCTTTTCATCCAACGCACGCTGATGCAATTCCTCAGGACTAGCAGATGTCATCTCATTCTGCATATCATCAGAAGAGTGATTTTTGGAAGCTTGCCCAGATGAAGAGGACTCCGTTTCATCACTTCCTAGAATCTGGTTCAAAACTTCATCCTCATGTTTTAAAGTTAGTTTTGAACTACCTGCAGAAAGTAACTGAAAACATAAACTAACCAATAATTTAGTGACAAAATAAATCTTTTCTGTTTTCTTAACAACAACCAATGCAGACCAAAGACATATTACATATATAAAGAATAGAATATTACGATAAATCAAACCTGATTTTCCAAATTAGCCTTCCAACCAGCTATGCATACAAAATGAAGAAAGAACTAAAGTGGGTTTGTATCAAAGCGACATAACCATATACTTCACGCAAAAAAGTGAATAGTGCCTTTGTTAACAACATATTGTGCAATCAAAGATGAAATTAATCAAACCATCAAAGAAATGTACCTTTTGCAGCCCTATTTTTGTGTCCATACCGCAACTCAAAACGTGCTGCTTCTTCTAGTTTTTTACAGGGTTCACAAATACGCACAGGTGAATCACCTTGTCCACGTAATACCATCCTTTGCTGGGTACAACTGTTGCAAAAAATGCCCCCACACCTTCGGCAGTGGTGCTAGAAATCCAGAGAGAAAGAAAACTGTTAATAACTAGAAAGACAAACACTAATAGAAATATACATCCTCCTTCAAAATATAAAATCCTCTAAGAATTTTTTTCCCCCTTTAACTCTATCATCAATAAACACCATAATAAAAAACTAAGAAGAGGATCTGCATATAATCCTTTCCTATTATAATTAAAACCATCTACAGCAACCCAGTGGCCTCCCTCCCCTGTTCTAAAAGGCTATCACTAAAAGACTAGCAAGGAGACCCCAGACGTGATCAAGGTGCGGCATTCAATAAAGAAAGGGAATCTCCAACAAAAATCAATCTCGCACACCATCCCCAAAAATTCACAACCAGCACAGTACACCAATCACTTAGCTCACACCAAATCTCAATTCCAATTCAATCACTTGAAATCCTTAACATTAACCATCAAAAACTAAAACTTTCACTAAAACCATGACCAACTCAAGTGGTAGAACCCGCTGATCCAAAAAAAAAAAAGAAACTCAAATGGTAGAACCCAAAATCTCGATTTTTGCGACACGGGTATTGGACAATAAAAGAGTTGAGAGATAAAGAGATGAAAAACCTTGCGATTGATGAAGGTGAACTGAGAGGAACATCCCTGGCAATGTGTAGCATCAACCACCCAGTTATTCCCTCTCAGCGATGGCTTCGCCGGCAATCCGATCTTCTCCAACATCTCGTTTCCAAATCAAAAACAACGGAAAAATAAAAGAAAATCGCCGCTCCTATCGCCACCCTCCCTTTCGATTTTTGGAGCAGATTTGTTTGCACAAAACTGGCAATTGAAGCTTCGTCGACTTTTTCTGGGTCTAAGGAGAAAGGTCGATGATGACACGGAAATGAAAAATTGGGAAATTAAATTTAAAAAAAAAAATTTGAACGGTTTTGTTTTTTGGTTGGGCGGGGGCAGAGAAGTAAGGCGGCGTCTGTTATTATATTTGTAAATTGTAATTGTAATTACCCGATTAATATGAAGTGAGCCTGGATTAGAATTCACTTAACACCATTGGGTCTGATGGACTCAAAGAGAAGTAGGCCTTGATGAGCCTTTAATTAACTAAGTCAATTCTAAGTTGGGTTAGATGGTCTCAACATGCAGTGGGCCTATATGAGCCTTTATAAATTCATATTCAGTTAAGTATATTTTTAGAGTACTTAATTTCCATATATAAAATTTTTCTTATATGGTCTAATTTGATATAAATTGCGTAACCATAACTATTCGGTGGGGGAGAGTCCTTAAATGTGAGGCATTCTTCCCCTAAAATCAATGGCTAATTTTTTTGCAGTTGGACTTATGTAAAATTGCAGAAAAACATTATTTTAAACATAAGCTCAAGATTTTAAAATTTTTTGTTCTTGGAGAGTTTAAAGTTCTATAGTCACTCATTAAATGCACACATGTTCCCACAATTTGGTAGGCTTAAAAAAACTCACTAGTATCAAAAATGTTTGCATCTTTACCTAAGAAGCTTTGAAATAACGGCTATTTCAAGGATGTTGGTCCATCTTCAACCTTCTTTTTTATGGAGAAAATGGAATACTTTCTTTAGCTGCAAAACCTTGCATTAATGGCTCACAACACCCCATGGCATGAACAATTCAACTGCTAAAACTTACAAACATAACATGACAATTTTATTGTCCCTTGTTTGTTACCCTCATACATCTTTAATCATTGCTTCATTAGTGTTTTCTCCTGTTTTGTTTGTTTCCCAAGAAAATGAAAAAGAAAAGGACATTATAGAAACCTGAAACTCTGGCCTTATGGGGATTCTTAAATCTTGAGAAGCCAATCTTCTAAGTTCAAATTTTAATTTTAATTTTTTTTTTTTCTTTAAACATTTGCTTAATGCTATGTAGGATGGTGTTTTGTTTGACATTTGTGGATGAAACTTTGGATTCTGCAACTCCATGAAACTGCTTCCATACTTTTTGTGGCACATAGATTAAGATTGATGTCGTGAGCCATGCCTGCAATTTGCCGCATAGGCCGCCTAACGTGTCTGTCGTGGGTGACTCATGTACGGATATTCTTTAGAAACATCCATTGACTTTCTTAATGCAATGGGGCAAGAGGACATGGATATTCAATTATTCATACAGTCACATTGCCTCGATTTGGCTAATGTAAGTTCAAATAATATTGTCATTATATTACAATTACAAACATTCAACTTTGGAGATCACTCAAACTTAGTTGAACAAAAATATATTGAATTTACATCAACTGAACTTCATACTATACAAGAAAGAGATGGTGAGGAAAAGCAAAAAAATATTAGAGGCAATAGCATAATTTCAAGAACAGAGTTTTGGTAAGAATCTGGCATTGTAGCCTAAACTAGACAGCCTTGTTCTTGTGATATTTCCTATCTGGGTCTGCATTGTCCCACAGAACTTCTCAAGCTCTGTTGCCCTCCATTGCATTCCTTGCAAATTTGCTTCAAGTTTCTCATTTTTCCTTGAAAAGTTGACTCTTTTTGCATAAAGAAGGATTTGTTCTACATCTTCTTTCCAATCCATACTTTCATTAGCAGAAAGGGAACAGCTAGGGATTTTGAGGAGGTTTCTGTCCTGGAATAAGTTTTTGGGCTTGGATTGCTGATTGATGAAAGCTTGAACAGATATTCTAGATGGGAACTTGGAGTTTAGAGCTAGGTGTTTCAATGAATCTCTTGAGAGCTTCTCATAGTTTAGTGCACTACAGATTCTAATCTTCTCTTCTTCACATAAGCTAGCATGGACCTGCACAGAAGCTTAATCAGTTTAAATACTTTCACAATTTTGGTGCTCTAAAATCTAAACACATGACATCTTCCTAGTAAGAAGAATCAAATAAACACTAGAAAAATAACTACATTTCTTCTAATTTGGAGCAAAGCAATGAATTAAATCAACACTCGGTGTATATTGTCAAGTTCATTGCATACCTCAAGGTACATGTCCATGGCATGACAGAGCCCGTCATGAGACTCTCTTGCAGAATCAGGTAGCAGCATGACCAACGCTGCAAACTTGGAAGGTTTCAGATGAGTATCGGCTGCCACTTCCAGAAGGTATGAGTCTACCAATCTGGCAACTTTTCTTAATCGAGTTGAGGATAACCAACAACTTCCTTGAAGTCTAAATGCTTTCACCAGCCTCAGAACCAAATTCACATCATACATATAATGCTTCCCATGCAGAGATGGAATGAGCAGATGATCAATTGTTGCTTGATCTAGATGCGAACCAATTAGATTCTCCAACTTTCTTTTGTGATGTATGCTTATGTTCAAGCTTGATGCCACATGAAAAATACCAAATAAGACCTTGCAAGAGAGAGAGCTTCCATCAAGCAAAGAAAGCAGGCAGATTATGACCTCAGTCATTTTGCACTTCTCAGCTGGTGTGGCACTAAGAAATCTCGATTTTTGATAATATAAGAGGAACTTGCTAATTGTAGCATTATCGAGATTATGTGATACCATCATCTTAGTCCCCTTTTCAATCAAATCAATATTCAAAAACAACAAGTCTTCAAACCACCAACACACTTGAGAATAGTTGTTTCTCACACTATAGCTGCTCCTTGTATCACACGAACCCTGGAAACTGGAGTTGTCTGAGGAAAATGTACAAGGGCTTGTAGTAACAGGTAAGGCAAGCCTTCCTACCACACAATCCAAAACTGTCTCAAGTATTAATGAACTTGAAGCAGGAAGTAAATCTTGACACTCTTTCAAAGCTACAAGTAGCTCAGACCAAGTCCACATGCTGATACCTTCAAGAGACTTTACTGTTTGGTCTACCATGCTCGGTGAAGAGCTGTTACTCTCGATTTCCATAAACTGCACAGCACAGTTTAGTAGGACTAGATTTGAGGGAGTTATCTCAACTCTGCCATTGTTGTAGCAGAACCTTGCAATGAGCTCAAAACCCTCAGCGCCTCCGGGAAATTCATGAAATATCACCTTAAGGTTCTCTGCACTGCTGCCCAGCATGCTACTGAACAGTTTCCTAAATTTACCTGAGAACGATGCAAGAATTTTCTGCAAGGATTTATGACAAAATAGTCAAAAAACTGTTCAACCGCATCATATATTACCAAAATGACAAAAAATCCATGAATTTATACAAGGATTGAGCTATTCATGATATTTGACACCAGCATGCTAAGTGGTTACCAACTCAACCAAAGGGCTACTAATGAATCAAATCAATTCAGTGAAACCCCTAAGAAAAATTTAAGGAACCCTGAATTTTTAGGAAATTATGGTGAAAATTTGCTATCAGCCATAAATTAGAAGTGGTCCAATTTCTGATACAATTCTGGAGATGGACCAAAATTCTTGGTTTGAAAGGCATACCCTGTAAGAATCAGAAAAAGCAACTTCAACACTCTCCTCTCGTAGGATGGAGGGAAGTTAAGTAGGGAACATAGTGGAAAATTATTGAGAAAAAAAGGATACATAAGCAGCAAAAAAATTATTGTAGCAGAGCATGAAGGATTTTAGCCCGAATAAAAACAAGAAAAGTTTTTATTCAAGATTTACAAACAAACATAACCAAGATAAAATCTTTTTTGTTCATCATCGAAAAAAACATGGTATTATTACCTTATCCACCATGAAAATCTCTTCTCCATTGACGTCGACTTCAAGATCACAGTGAACTTCCATGGTTCAAATTAGGGAAAACCCACTTGGATGTAAGAGTTTCTGAAAAAGATGAACTTTTTCAGAAATGCCAAAAGGGGAGAATAGAGGATTAAAGAGTCATGCACACTGATGAGAAAGACATGGCAAAAAAGTCGTTTCTTTCAAGCTGCCATATGGTCAATGAAGATGGAGACAGGGCAAGAAGACAATGGAGGGAACGAGTCGAAAAGAGCCCTCCTTTTTATCTTGCATTATCCAATTTAAGAATTTTAATCATATATATCGGGAAGGTGAAATTATGAAGGGTGTTCTGTGCCCTGCATTTTTACCCTTTAATTGTGTATTTTAATGGCATAAATATGACATAAGGACCCAAACTTATACAAAATTCGCAATGTTGGACCCAAACTTCAATTGCACTCAATTAAGGTCCCGAACTCTACGAAAATTCTCGAATAAGGTCCCAATTGGACGGAAAACTAACTTCCGTCAAATCTAACAAACACCGTTAATGACTTCTTGACGCAGTTTGTCATCGGCTTCCCTGTTGGCGTTGCACCTGTAGGTCCTGCACGCCTTTGCATGTTTTTTTTTTCCTTTACTTCATTTGTTTTTAGTAATAATATTTTTTATTAATTAATTATTTTTTAAATTAATAAATTAATATTATATATAATATACATAT